CCTATATCATCATAAAACTATTTATACTATATATATACATCTATTTACTATGTACAGGCCCAACTGTAAATAAACAGATATAGTAAACAGTTAAAACTATGTAACATAGTAAATAGATAGAAATGTTGGAGCCTTAATATCATGCTCAGAAAGGAACGCTCGAGCAGCTGATACAAAATACAGTGGCCAGCGACGGCATATTGAGCAGCACAGTCCGAATAGAATGCAGAGCGGAGGGTAGCATATAAACGTGCGAGCACAGAGCGATCGACGTCCGAGTCAGAGATTACGGCATTCTGCAGCATTCTGATTCTTGTTTCTGTGATATGTTCCACCGCAGTCACCAATTCAGCGTCAGCGACAAAGGAAAGAATTTTTCGACTTAAAATGATGGACAGAAGAGAGGACGAGAGTAAGGAGGAAAGAGAGGAGGAAGATGCGGAGGCGTCGTAGATGGGAAATGCTGGACCAATCACGACGCGGGGAGCGAGCAAAGGCCACGCTGAAAGACTCGCATTAGGTCAAATGGCAAATCGTAAACCGATGAACCGAAACAAGAATATATGGCCCCCGTCCCCACCACCCCCACCTCCTCTCTTCCGCCTCCTCCTCCCTCAGATATCTGCCTTATTAGGCAACTTCCTCCATTTTTCCCTCTCTAATTGCTCCTTTTAAAACTGTTCTCTTCATCCCATACTGCACAGTATGGCCAGTAAGGGAAAGGAAATACAGGCTTTGAATATGGTGTACCTACCGTCAGTGTCATCGCGGTCGTTATTGTCGACTCATCAGAGCCCCATCGCTATCGATGATGTCGAGTCCTCCCCCAGCTCCCTCGTCCCCATCAAATCGACTGTTAGCAACTCCCATACTCCTCAGAGCATCGAAGCAGCCATACAAGTTGAGGAGAATGTGGTTGCGAAGGAGACGAAGGCAAAACCACCCTCGAGCGTCACCGCACCTGGCAAACCCATGTCTACCACGACTGGCGCCAAACCGAAGTCCACCAGGCCCACTTTCCCTCGCTCCCGCTCGCCTGCTCCTCCAGCTCTTTCTATCCACCCACCCTTCCAAACAATTCATTTAGATATACCGCTTGGTGGTCCGGAAGATTATGAGGTCGACATTGCCTCGCTCTCTAATGTCACAGGCCAGCGCCCACCAACACCTGTAATTGTTCTCAAGGGAGATATCAGTGATGATAGCCACAGTGAGGGCGACGATGAGGGCGATGGCAAATCTGAGAAAAGGAAGTGGAGAAAGGTGAAAGTCTTTGCGTAGCGTAGCACTCGTAGTATGTGCTGACTTTCTGCTGCAGAGGAAGAACCTCTCATCTGAGTACTACGACACCACCGACCCCTTCATTGATGACTCCGAGCTGGCTCAAGATGAGCACAAGTTCTTTGTGCAGATGAAACAGAAGGGCTTCTACGTATCAAGCGGGCAAGTTGTGCTGCTGAATAAGTGCATACAGACCTACCGCCAGCACTTCTCACGCATACTGATGCCCTGTCTTCAGGACGCCAACCAAGAAGCCAAAGTCCAAGAAGTTGAACATTCTCGCCCCTGCTGCCTCCGTCACTGCTGCACTGTCTTCTGGGCCTCTACCTCCATCCCTTGCAGGCCCACTGTTGATCCCGTCACAGCCAAGCACCTCCAAAGTATCCTCACCGAAGAAGAAGGAGCACAACACATGGGAGGAGCCTATAGCGCTCTTGTCGGATACGGAAGAGGAGCGCTCCGGCTCGAAGCGTAAGCTGGTCACAGAGATCAGCTCGTTCACAAATACGCTGAGCACTCCATCAGAGGGTAGTTCGAAGAAGAGGTGGAAGACCGTCGAGATCGTACATCTGCATGCTGTTTCATCGTTCATGTCGCTGATCTCTATGATCCTCCACAGCAACCGTTCCACCCCGAGCTAGAGGAGATGTTTGTTGCAATGAAGGCAGCGATTGCCAAAGGTGCGTTTCCTGTGTGGTCGCGCTCATCCAACAAGCATGCTCATACCCCTTTGCAGAGAACTGGGAAGTAAAGGGGAAATTCCCGCCATCACTTAAACCCATGCTCGCCCAAATCTCTCTGAAGGTGGTCATCCTGGGCGAGTACGACGATAACTTCTTCAATATCATGCCTCAGCTCTTTCCATATAATAAGTTCACCATAACGGTCCGTGTCCTACATTCTGTACACGTTAATTCATGCTGATGCCATCCCTGGGCGCAGAAACTTATCAAACAGACAATATGGCGTGAGCACACAAATCTCCTCATGGAGCGACAGACCTCATCATGCTATGAGCATTCATGGGCGTGTCTAAGTCTGTTATGCATGAATCTGTTTCGTGTTTACAGCGCTTCATCCACCATTGAAGATGCAGTCTGAACATACCGTCCACACCATCGTGCACATGTTCCAGAACCCAGCATCCAGTCTGAGGTGCAGGCTGCATTCATTGATGCAGCTGCACTTGGGAACGGTGAGTATCCTGTCATGTGCATTATATGCATCGATGCTGAACTTCACCCTGTACAAGTCATTGGGATGATCATAAGTGCTGCCCTTATGATGTATGCATCATGACCCTGGGTCTTTACTTTATCACCATCATTTGCTTTGTCGTAGGCTCCCTTGTACTCATCTGGCTTCAGTCGCAACAATCGCACATGACAGTAAGGCAGCATGTTTGAAGAGGATCAACACAATGGACCCGAACGGAGCGTTCTCGCTGACGAGTGAGTCGTATGTCTCCCTGCGCAGCACATTCGAGCTGAAGTCATATTGTCACAGTTGCGCTGATCCTGTTGATGTTTGCAGTCAAGTCAGGGGTCAGTCGATGGTTGGCGACATGCGAGGCCCATTGTGTCCATCATTATATTTGGTGCTCTCATTGTCTTCTTTCTTGTCTGGGAGGCCTAAGCAACTTACCACGCCATGAGTTCATCCATGGTTTATTTTACGTGCAGATGCTCATGCATGGGCCAATGCAGACAGCCAAAAATGTGAAGGTAGGAGAACTTCACTGCAGTGGAAGCTCTCGCCACAACGCTGTTTATGCAGAACGCCATCCCTCCTGTTGGCAGGAAGAAAGACTCTAGAATGAGGTCGCACGATCTGATCAGTTACCATTTATCGTGTGTAACCTAAGTGTCTCAACAATTTGAACTGACGAGCTCACTGTGCTTTATTTTGACATGAGCTATCATGACACTAGCAGTGCTATCTCATGATGAGAATTTCAAGTCAGTCTGCAGTAAGTCATATCGATGTCATTGAGGCCTTTGAGGTGACCTTAATCAGGTCAACATGGGATAGAAGGTCTTGCCCTGTGGAACCTCACCTTCACAGCAATGCCAGATCATGGTGCGATGTTCACCATTGATGATTTCATGTCTGACACACCATCACCCAGTGGCAATATATGCATCTGATCTTCCATGTACAGCAGGGGAGAAAAATCAATTGTTCCACATTGGATATTCTCATTTCTGAGAAGCCCTTGTGGTATGTCTCGGCATAGCTCTTAGTGTTCCACCGCTCTCACTGACTCAGGCCCTACAGGCTAGATTACAAAAATGCTAGCACGTATGCAGCCAAAGTGACAGGTCAACATGCCGCTATTCCACGCTTCTTGTTGAATGCGCTCTGGTTCTTTTCAAGTGGAGCATCTAGGTGCTGCTGCTAGAATCGAGTGCTGATTGTGAAGAAAACAATGCGTTGATTGCTAATTAATGCAGCGGTGGTTCAATCGTTATTTCTCTGCAGCATTCTCATCTCAGTCATGTTGTGGTTACAATGGATCTCTATTAAGCTCTTGGTTGCAAGCTTCCTGGTTTTTTTATATCATTCTGCTGCTCTTGCTGCCCAGGAATGCGCAATGGTATGGGCTCCATCTACCTCCTGGGTGATGCCTTATTCCCTTCGTCGTGCAAATGGTAGATGCTTGGTCGAGATTCTACGATAGGCAACGATAGCATGCACCAAGCACCAACTGTTGATGCTGATCCATTGTGCCTAGGAGATGTCATCTATGCTCAACTCTTTGGATCGTCTACGATAATATTGAACCTGATGCAGGCAGCAAAGGCACTGCTCGACCATGAGAGTGCCAAGTACTCTGATTGATGCAGGTTCGTGCTGCTGAGAGAACTGTCAGTAGCCCCTGCAGTCTGTGTTTGACATCTGACACCCTAGGTTGACAGATTTGTTCAGGGCCGAATATCGGCCCCTACAGTCTTCAACCGGTGCTTTATACACCACTAGTCCTTTATACAGCAGCATTTTTCTCAGTGATTTCTGAGTCAAATTGCTCAGTAAAAAATGCATTATATAGCTACTGGCTACATGGTTCATGGCCCATAGAAAAATATGCAGGTGGTTTGCCTGTTCTTTTGCAATATGGCATTTTTGCTGTTCAGAGCTTTTTAGCGAAATATTATTTTGGCTCTCATAGCATGTAGAGGGAGAAATTCTGAAATGTCATCATGCCAACTACATCTATATAGTCAAGAGGCATGTTGTATGCATTTATTTGAGCTGACAGCATGGGTGCATCGACCACAGTAGGTGATCTATTCCCGGAGAGGGGGGTCATGTCACATTCTGTCACATAAGATCACATGTGACCTCACGTTTTTCTGAGCTGAGTTGTGGCGAGAGCGTGACTATGCGTGACAGTGTATAGAGGAGTGGGAGACGCGCATTTTGGCCCTCTCGGCTTCTTTTATTTTTGTACATCACAGCTCTCATTAGCTTGCTCTGAAACTTTATGACAATATGCTTTTAGATTTCCTTAATAAGTGTAGATACTTTTTTTGAGGTGAAAGTGAGAAATGCTTGTACAGGAAGCTCAAACAATTTGAGCGTATAAAGGACCGATTGAAGACTGTACCATCCGACAAGCAGTGGCGTCAGCGCAGACAATGGATACAGACCGCTTGCAATGATGCGAAAGTGCTCATGAGCTACCGTAGCATTCAGTAGCACGAGACATATTTCCTACTATCAGAGGTGTGTAGCAGCTGTTTGCGAGTCATGTTATATTTCAAATGGTCACGCGTTTATGACTGTCATGATGATTCCTGTCTCACTGGCATGATGTGGCTTCCACAGCATGCCGCTATAAGTTTCTCGCTTCATCAGCAGCCCGGAAATATCACTGGAATACTCTTACAGATCAGTGCGACTCTTGCTATGATATCTGGCTGGGCGACTATCTCACCTACATCTCGTTTACTTTTTGCCAGTTCTTAGCATTCATTTGTCTCGGACTCGGCGGCATTTGGCACTCATGGAAGCTACCTTCTGCTATTGCGAACGAGGGCAAATTGCGGGTAGGCTGGCAGGCTCAACTTCCAAGGATCAACTTGCAAGCATCCACTCACCACCCGAATGCAGAATCGCATAGTCAGAATGCCACAATGTAGCTGGAGCTGTAACAGTAGGCCAGTTGATCATTTCTATGAAATGTGAGCAAGAACGATCAGATAGTTGTTGTGGCGTTTTTGTGCCACATGGAAGCCTTCGCCAGTTGAAACACGACTTGCTTGGTCTCGTGCGATCTCCGTCTCAAATTTTCTGTCATCGTGGACGAATATCCAGTGAGTCTGCATGATTTCTGAGTCAGCATGTTGAAAGATCGCCAACGCCACTGGGCCTACACGTTTCCTGTGTCATCACGGACGTCATCATATCGTGTTCATCTCCTGCCAGATCAAGCTCCACCGAACAGAACAGTCTCGAGGTAATGATAATGGCCTTGTCTCTCACTAGAATTATAAATGGCATGACGGTGTCAGCCGGAGCCAACCACCAGGCAACCATTTGTTCACGTTTGCGGTGGATACAAGAACCGTATCGCCGTTTCATGCTCGATACGAGAACGAGGCCTTGATCGCACCTGCTCTCTCGAGCATTGATGTAACAGGAATAGTTTGATTGTTCATCATGATGGTCTCACGGACTGGTGTCATCTGTGCAGTACCTGGCATGACTATTTACAGATCATGTTGTTCGATGAGCCTTGTATGATCGCAAATAACGACAAGATGATCGTAACATCATCGTAGCTATGCAATAGTTACTAGCAATATCGTGTGTGAGAAGCGAGCGGTCCAGTTAAGTTCACATTATGCATCTTGCCGCCAGATGATGATTACTATCAAGGGCGCCTGACTGGTACCTTCCTCGGGAACACTCAGCCGACTCCCGAGGTCCCTATCAAGTTGATCTTGATGAGGTCGGCAACTCATCCACAAACTAAGCGGTACAACTGTACAACACATTCCCACTTGAGCCGTGGCGAGTGCAAGTCTGACTCGATACTGAGCCACGACTAGTGCCCCTGCAGATATATAAGACCCTGCTGTGCCATCATTGTGGACATCTCAGTACGTCTAATCCCCACAGTCCTTCGTATCCCCTATTCGCTGTAAACTGTCGTGGCAGCCAAACGAAACGAACTGTCTCCTGCCTCATTTTTCGGTGCTGACAAGCATACGCAGAAGGCCATCCGATTGAACGGTGACCAAGATGCCACAAATGAAATCGTTGCGAATTTTGCCTGACTTTCTGGACCAAGCGGCTCACAACGAGATGGACCAGGAAATCTGGAAAATTCTGCAAAGGCGGTTTAGAGCCAAAGATAATGCTGATGTGGTTGAACAGCTATCCAGTGTAAATGCGGACGATCTGCGGGATAAGCAAGAAACCTTTGGCGCTCTGCTGCATGCAATCCTCTTTCCTACGACCTACCGCAACAATAAGATTGAAAATGAATATCTAAATCTGACGTCTTGTGAAGATGTATTCTCGGGAGATCATGCCAAGGATGTTCTGCAGCTGCTGCAGACCTGTGCTCAAAAAGGCACTTTTGCGGACATCCGCAACTTCAGTACGTCCTATCATTCGAATGCACGTGTCAAGTCCTACAGGGTCCAAACTCCTCAGGTCTATTCAGAAGACCCGTTGCTACTGAGGATGCCAACTTTGTGGAAGCTCAAGGTGAGTCAATTGGATTATATGCAATGCTCCGGATGTGATTGACAGCGCATGATTTACAGAGAAAGGTGAGCATAGTCGGAATTAGAACCAGACGTTGGTTCACTCATTCACGCGATATGTACAGCAACGGTATCGGCATGGTCACGAACGTTCTATGGCACGGCTCATCAGTTACTCTACAAGAACATCAAGAGCATGAGCTCTTCTCGCAGGAAAGACCAATTGTACTCCAACTACGTTTCTATTGTCCAGAGCTCTGGGACCGGAAAATCACGCACGGTCGACGAAATGGCTCGCTTGGTGTTCACATTTCCCTTCAATCTCCGTGCAGAAGGCAACTCAGGTGTGCTGTCAATCTCAACGATTTGAATGTTTATGTTTACTGTGTTGCGTTTGAAACAGGCTATGCATATCCTGCTGCAGATTGCTTAGTCCGTGATTTTCTGCTTGAAGAGGGTTCCAGGAAGAAGCCTGATTCTATAGTCGCTGCTTATCTAATTTTCTTCCGGTTCCTATTTGAAAGGACTGCCGAAAGGTTGCATACCCTTGGGAACTCTGCTGGAGGCCAGACGGCGATTCCACATCAACTAGCTGAAGAATGGAGGGCGCACCTTGCAGAAGGTAATACGAGATCGGAATTCTATAACGAGGTGGTGCGTCTGGTGACTGTAAGTGGCTTCATCAGGAATTTCTTCTTGTTTTTTTTTGTTCACGCCATCTATCTGCAGGATTCCACAGAATGGCCATCGATCACGAAATTGAAACAGAACGAAGATGACATCAAGATCAGTTCATACGCTCAGCCTGCAATCATTGCAGGCAAAAGGCTCTCGGATATCATTAACTCCTATGCGCATGATAAGCTTCCCGACTCTCTACGTCTGGTCATGTACTTCGACGAGGCCCACTCGCTGATGCAACACAGCACTGAGGGAATAAACTCTCATCTCACTCGCTATCATGCTCTATGCAAGGCTATCAACCAACTAACTGACGTTCCTCTTTTCGTTGTGATGTTGTCGACAACTTCGCAGCTTCACAACTTATCTCCGGCGAAGATGTTCCATCCCTCAATGCGAGTGCAGGGTGGAAAGCAGGATGATCTCCAAGCACCGATCACTGAAATGCCCTTTGACCTTCTCTGCGACAATGAGCCTTTGGTTCCTCCGGAGGGAGTAACGCTAGATGACGCATGCGAGCTGAAGTTTATCTGCCGATTCGGTCGTCCACTGTATGTGCCTTTTCGCTTTCATCATGCTGTGACGATATCTAAGAGGTTTGCTTTAATCAGCTGGAGAGCGTTCTTCATGTCTGAAGATACCGATGTCCAACGTATGCTGGTGGACACGGCGTCCTCGAAACTCACCGGATACCGCCGTGGCCCTCAGACGGATGATGAGGATATTGGCCACGGCAAGCGCGCCCTTCTTGCAGCGTTGAGCACTCGACTGTTGCTGGAATTCGAGCCTGCACGCGAGTTGGCCCGCAAAATGGAGGTCGAACTAGTCGAAAGCAACCTTCGGATCGCCTATAGCGTTCCCAAGCATCGTGAATATTTCCGGTCAGGTTATCCGTCAGAACCCATCCTGGCCGAGGCTGCTGCGCGCTTCTTAAATGGAAGTAAATTTTCAGTCCCTGATAGCTTGACGTCTTTCGTCAAGAGCGGATTGATCAGTAAAGGCGAAAGAGGCGAACTCGTCATGCGCTTGCTGCTGCTCGAAGCTTTCGACAAGGCAACAAGGAAGACGTTTGAAAACGTCAACGACCGGAAAAGCATGACGTTCGACCATCCCATCCCAGTCATCGACTTCCTCAAAGCGCTTTTCGGCGAGAAGAATATGAAAACGGTCTTGGACAAGGATGCACGGAACCGCGCGAATTGGAGAACGTTCGAGAAGGCGTTCGGAAATGCGTATGTTCACTTCACGCATTTCGGAAAGTCGGAAAACGAGTCCGTCTCCAACCAATTTGGCGCCTGGGCGGCCATCATGCGTGGAATGGCTATACAGTGCTCCACAAACCAGAGGAACATCGACTGCATCATACCAATAGTTTTCGGCCGCAAAGAGAAGATCACGCCAGATAGGATGAGCGCAATCCTCATCCAAGTCAAGAACAGAGTAGACTCTCAGGTGCTGGCCATAGACGAGAAGAAGTTAGACGGTGTAGATGACTTCTTTCGGAAAGGCAACACAGGATTGCCCGACAATCGCCCTTACATCACGATTGCGATGCACCTTGGCATCCAGGACGCCGCGTACAAGGACGCACTGCCGAAAGCAAAGCTCCATGAATTGGAGGCCTCGTTTGAGTGTGTGGCGCCGACAGGCCATATGCTGACTCGTACGGCGTCTTCAAAGCGAATGGAAACTCTGTATGATCCTAAAGAGGACTTGCATCCCCGGGAAGGACTGAAAGGAGGGGATGAGGATCCCCCCCATCCGCGATACGAGATCGTGGTCAAGAAGTGTAATCCGGAAACATTTGCAGCTATGATCGACGATTACAAGAGGGCCTCTGAGGAGAAAGCGACGCACGATTACGCGTACTTGTTGGCTGGCACGAGTGTCTACGACGAGCATCCAAGACAGGACGAGGAAAATCTCGCAGCTGTGCGCAAATTGAAATCGGGTTGGAGCATTGGAGATGACTACTATGACTGGACCGGTAACGACTTCCTGTGCGGAGGAACGCCTGGACGCAGCCGAAACGAGTCAAATGACTCGGAGGATGCAGACCCAATGCAAATAGTCGGAGCCGATTCACCTGAAGACATCGTGATGGGCAGTCAAAATTCCGATTGAATGAGCGCAACGAGCTCAGTGAATGAGAATTTGTAGGCCGCCTTGGAGAAGACACACCAGTGTGCCATGTTTGAGCTCCCCTCTATCGAATCATGCCAATTGCTAATGTATGCATCTATGTAATGCTTGACGGGACATTCTATATCTAAATAATTAGTGCTGCAGCGCGGCAGGAATGTACATACCATTGCTCTCTTGGACATCTAATGAAACGCACCCGTTATCTTATAAATCCAAACTGCACTGTGTTTAAGGACGGAGATGTCTTCAGATAACCGTCTGACAACGTAAATTAACCCACTGCAACTTCATGCCATAGCAAGATACGCGCATGGCTCCGAGAAAGCTCCAAAGGCGTGATGGAGAACAGTGTCCGAGTCGGTTAATAACTCATAAGAAAACATTAGTATTAGCTTACCGCTCTGACTTTACGTTCGAGGTCCGCCACTGATAGAAATTTTCAGCGTATAAGAACGGTCCACTCTGTGGGTCTCCGATGCACATATCGATTAAGCATGCGCGAGGAAGACACTGGCGAAAAGCGAATGCATACCATGTTGCCGCTTTCGAGGTCAAGACGCAACGTGAGGAGTAATTTGTTCACGTGTGAAGGTTTTTGCACATCTAGCGCGTCAAGGTTTAATCAGATGGAGGCACGCCGTGGCTCATTTTTAGAGTGTTGCATGGCATCAAACATGTCACCTTTCAGCTGGCTTTCGCAGAGCCTCCACCAGTTCAAACATGAGTCAGACCGTTTCTGTAGGTGTGATACATCCATATAGAATGAGCGGCTGTGGGTCCTGGCAGGCCATGCAGTCTGATAATGACTCGACGCGGCACGACACCAAGCGCACGCGGCCGTGAAAATCTACGAGTACGCGCTGTTGCAATTATACGGCTCGTTGGACGGCTCCGCCAGACTCGGCTGACAAGTTGGAGATGAACGTCGCGGAGATACTGCCACACATCAGCTATAACGAGCGCGGTGCCGTACTCGAACTCCTTCCGAGCGGTTTCGTTCCGATGGGCCAGGACTCGGATGTCAATAAGTCAGGTACGCGGGATGGGACGTCGATGACCACGCGCTGAAGGGATTCGACCGCGTCCCCGGGCGCGTTTACGTTGTGTTCAAGACATGCGACCTCTACCAAAACGCCGGGCCGGTGCGATTACGACTGGTCATGATGAATGGATAACGAGGAGGACGCACCGTTGCATGTGTTCGATGAGTCAGCATTGTAGCGGAGCGGTTGCGAGCTGCGACTAGTGTTCTCCCGTCCCTAGGGTTTGTTTTTGACATATTGATCTTGGCAGTCGCTGGTCGGAACTTGAAGACAGCGGTCCCTGTATGCATAAAGTGATCTGTAATTATTATACCTTCATGTTCACAATCTCACGGAGGGTCATTGAAATGTAACATCGCAATATAAGCTGCAGCATCATTTTTAGTAAGATGTCACCGGAATGTGGAAATACGACAACTTAGTGACCTGACTTGTTGAGGTGTCACGATTCTGCACGAATTGTCCGTTCGACGAGACTGCTCAAAGACATCCCGTACGCAAATGTGGTACATCCGAAAGCCACAGGATAGTCCGTTTCTCTCGTGGCCTAAGCGATCGTCTATACACGTGGCCACATCAGGATGCGTTGATCACGTGACTGAAGGCCACAACGTCTTCCAGTTCGGCTCCGAGCGGTTTGGACCGGGGTGAGAACATAGGCCCACTGCAGTTTACAATTGAGAAGCAGAATTATGTCTCCATCGTGCAAGGACAATGCATTCAGTGTAAGGTCTAGACCGGTAACCGCCAGACAATGCAGAAAGATATAAGGATGACAAGACGTAATGGCTGGTAAGGAGGCTTTTGTGACATTTGTTTCCACATCGATGGCCCAAGGGTCCAGGGACATCATGTTCGCAAGTGAGATGGGGCTGGCACTAGCGGAGAAGACCCAAAGCATTAGACCATGACGCAGGAGCCTCAGAATGGAGCTTATGGCTGGAAGATTGGAAGTCTCAACGTCATCGAGTCCTGTTGCAGATCAAGGATAAGCTGGGCGAGTATCCCACCGATGATAAGTAGCAGAAGCGCAGAAGCTCTGGCTGATGTATCAGGAATTTGATGCATGCGCCGGGTGTGATATCCACCTGCGTGCTGTATTCTTCACAACCCATGTCATGTAAGGCTCCAACTATTTATACTATTTACACTCCTGAGGTTTAAATATATAGTATATAGTAAACAGTTATCTATATGTCATATAAACAGTTTATATAAGGTTTATATAGTTTTTTTTTGGTCCCATCTTTTGATGGAGTTTTACTCAACTGTGAGCAGCCTCTGTGATTGTTGAGGCCTTTAAGGATCTGTTTGCATCAGCAAGCACATGACAGTGAGCAGAAAACAAGCATTCAATGTCAACACTTGCACTAGAAATGACCAGAAAATCTTATGTCATACAAGAAATGACAAGAAACTCATGTTCATGAGCCTGTATGATGATAAACTGTTAGTGGTGACTGCTGTTAAACACTATGACTTTCAATTGGCTCACTGTTGTGCTGTCAAATCTAGCAATTGTGCACTCAATAGTCCTATATCATCATAAAACTATTTATACTATATATATACATCTATTTACTATGTACAGGCCCAACTGTAAATAAACAGATATAGTAAACAGTTAAAACTATGTAACATAGTAAATAGATAGAAATGTTGGAGCCTTAATATCATGCTCAGAAAGGAACGCTCGAGCAGCTGATACAAAATACAGTGGCCAGCGACGGCATATTGAGCAGCACAGTCCGAATAGAATGCAGAGCGGAGGGTAGCATATAAACGTGCGAGCACAGAGCGATCGACGTCCGAGTCAGAGATTACGGCATTCTGCAGCATTCTGATTCTTGTTTCTGTGATATGTTCCACCGCAGTCACCAATTCAGCGTCAGCGACAAAGGAAAGAATTTTTCGACTTAAAATGATGGACAGAAGAGAGGACGAGAGTAAGGAGGAAAGAGAGGAGGAAGATGCGGAGGCGTCGTAGATGGGAAATGCTGGACCAATCACGACGCGGGGAGCGAGCAAAGGCCACGCTGAAAGACTCGCATTAGGTCAAATGGCAAATCGTAAACCGATGAACCGAAACAAGAATATATGGCCCCCGTCCCCACCACCCCCACCTCCTCTCTTCCGCCTCCTCCTCCCTCAGATATCTGCCTTATTAGGCAACTTCCTCCATTTTTCCCTCTCTAATTGCTCCTTTTAAAACTGTTCTCTTCATCCCATACTGCACAGTATGGCCAGTAAGGGAAAGGAAATACAGGCTTTGAATATGGTGTACCTACCGTCAGTGTCATCGCGGTCGTTATTGTCGACTCATCAGAGCCCCATCGCTATCGATGATGTCGAGTCCTCCCCCAGCTCCCTCGTCCCCATCAAATCGACTGTTAGCAACTCCCATACTCCTCAGAGCATCGAAGCAGCCATACAAGTTGAGGAGAATGTGGTTGCGAAGGAGACGAAGGCAAAACCACCCTCGAGCGTCACCGCACCTGGCAAACCCATGTCTACCACGACTGGCGCCAAACCGAAGTCCACCAGGCCCACTTTCCCTCGCTCCCGCTCGCCTGCTCCTCCAGCTCTTTCTATCCACCCACCCTTCCAAACAATTCATTTAGATATACCGCTTGGTGGTCCGGAAGATTATGAGGTCGACATTGCCTCGCTCTCTAATGTCACAGGCCAGCGCCCACCAACACCTGTAATTGTTCTCAAGGGAGATATCAGTGATGATAGCCACAGTGAGGGCGACGATGAGGGCGATGGCAAATCTGAGAAAAGGAAGTGGAGAAAGGTGAAAGTCTTTGCGTAGCGTAGCACTCGTAGTATGTGCTGACTTTCTGCTGCAGAGGAAGAACCTCTCATCTGAGTACTACGACAC